GAGAGAGAGAGAGAGAGAGAGAGAGAGAGAGAGAGAGAGAGAGAGAGAGAGAGAGAGCTTGGTGACATTTGGATCCAGACTCGACACTGGACTTCGGACATTTTGAAGAGGGATTATTTGGGACTTGCAACGAGACTTGGTGTTGACGACTTTCCCATCTCCCCCTTCCTCTTCTTCATCTGATCCCCTCCTCTTTGTCTGTGTATGTCTGGACCTGGCGCCTACTTCCTGTGTATAGCGGCAGGCCCCATCACACCTTGTGATGAGCATGATGTATGTTTGGTCTGCGTTGAAACATTGAGTGGGCTAGTCCTTAGTATTCTAGCATTCTGCTTTGCTATCTTGTACTGCGTGAAAGAGGTCAGTCAGGTCAGGACTTGTATCTAAAGTCTTCCCTGTGCTATAAAGTACCATTTTGTATGTATCGGAATGCACACTGCTTGTTGAGAATCCACTTGCACTGCATTGTCCATTCAGTCCTTTTTATCACATTGCGGATCCTCGGTTTATATGTACATCGCCCAACTGGGCATGTAACAGTCTGGGATTGAATCCCAGCAGGCAAATGAACGTGAATCCTTTCGTTTTTTTCCTTTGACACCATTCTCAGTAAATGAAGACCTGGAGGTACTGATGGCCTGGGCGTCACTGAGACTTGTTGGAACACATGTGGCCATAATTGTGGTCAAGTGTATCCGGGGAGCTCCTAGTGTGGAACGAAGATAGTCACTGCTCATCAACTCGATCACACAAAATGGTCTTTGTACATGCTGGGTGGCTATGGCCACCAGCCAGTCATCACTCTCAGGTATAGTGTCTGCCTTTCTCTCATCGGCCTCATGTTCCCTCTGATTGCTCTCACTCGCTTAACCTAGCTATTGGCTAAGGGCGGCCAGAGCTGACAACTACGGTCTACAGCAACACCCAACAACACACCCCAAAATGGCGCAGCAGCGTTCCCGCCTGGTCACACAAGTATGTGTTGACGACTTCAACAACTGGACTTTTGTACCTGATGTTTCACTTGCAGACTTCCTCTCCCAGTCGTGGCCCAGTACCTCTGCTGATGTTTGTCGTTTTCGGACGTTCCCTGACTTTCCTCGGACTTCGCTGCTGTCTGGACGGAGTGACACAGAGGGCCTACGACCTTCTATCGACTTTTCCTAAGCTGACTGGTACGTACCGGAATCTGCCTAGGTCGACCTGCTGGCACTAAACTACCTGGGAGGCTGGGACAGCAATATGGTACGTGCGACCGGGAAGTTGGACTAGGGACTGGAACTTGGACCGGGACCAGGGCTGATAGCGGTGAAGTTTTTTACCGACTAGAAAATTGTGTGGTTTCCAATCTATCTATGCTGAAAAGCAGTGCTCTTGGGACTCACGTCTGCCCTGTGGGGTAAAGAACAGGCCTGGAATGTGCACATCGTGGTCAGAGACTTATCTTAGTGCTGTCGGTTCGGTCTTGGTGTCATCAGATGGCACAGTGATGTCATGTATTTCGTGTCCTTTACATACCAATGACAGGTGTTTTATTGTGCGTACGTTTGTTTTCTGGTGTGTTTTACATCTCCCTCTCTCTTTCCCTCTCCTCTGCCTTGTCATCGTTTGTGCAGTGGGCATTCAGCTGTGGTGGTCAACGGTTCAATGCTGGTTGTGTTTGGTGGGCTACGGGATAGCAAGTTTCTCGGGGATGTGGTAGTTCTTGATATAGGTGAGTATTTCCGGTATGTCGCTTGCAGGGTTCAGTTCATGAATTCTCACCTGCTTGCAGTGTGCCCTTTCCTTTCACGATCTCAATCAAAATTCTATGGCCCTTTGCTTCCTCTTGCCTGAAGACAGGTCAGCCAGGCCTGAGGAAAAACCGGTTCCAGGCCACCTCGTCCCCTATTTGGCCCGCTCAGATCTATGGCGGCACAGCGGCAAACGTCTGTGGTTAAACAGGATGACACAGTCTTACGTTTTTTTGTCGAGTGGTGTATGATGACCAAGACAAGACAACAAGCACACTCACACGCACACACACGTGCACACACACACACACACACACACACACACACACACACACACACACACACACACGCTCGTACTACCGAGCTATTCTCTCTTTTCGTGGTTGGATATGTCTTGTTGGTTTTGTTGATTATACACGGCCTAATTCTTTGCCCTGGTTTAGAGCATGAGCTATTTGGATGTTTACGGGTGGCCACGAGTTCTCTTTGTGGGGAATGTATGTTTTGTGGCGTGGAAGGCTTTCCCAGTTTTTTCGGACCCTTAGCAGGGGGGGTTGGTGCGGTCTTGCTGGAGGAGTCTTCTGTCTTAAATAAGTTGTCTCTTATCTTCTTCCTCCTGTTTGGCAGTGGCGCGAGTGTGTAGTTTGAGATGAATGTCGGGAATGCCAATCCTGGTATATTTGTTTGTTTTTGGTAGACAAGTTTTTGGTTTTGTGGGCCAATGCGGAAGTCTCTCCCAGTTTTTTCGGACCTTTGAGGGGGTGGGGTCGGTGCGTTCTTGCTGGAATAAACTTCCGTCTTAGGTAAATTGCCTTCTGCCCTCCATCTCCTTATGGTTTGAAATACATATGTATACATATCTATATGTGCTGCTTTGGCAGCAGACGGGTCTGTGGGCACTTGGCGCTGAACCACACAAACGTGGCCAACCTTGCGTTTTCCATTATATTGCTTATCTATACTTTTTCGTTATGGATGGCTTGTGATGATTTGCGAAGGGAATGTGATAGAGAATCTGGGATCTTTTAAAACAACACACATGGACACACACACACCAATGCACACACATGCACACACGCAAATGCATCCGGGGCAGACTGTCGGGGTCCTACCTACTGATGAGTTGGCGAAAGTCCAAGGAAACAGTCTGGCACAGTCATGCTTCTTCTTGTGGAGTTGCACATGCACGCACACACACACACACTAAGACTGGAGAGAGAGAGAGAGAGAGAGAGAGAGAGAGAGAGAGAGAGAGAGAGAGAGAGAGAGAGAGAGAGAGAGAGAGAGAGAGGTCAATCACCCCACCATGACCATGCTGACTGATGTAGATGACGATGAAGATGACAAGGAGCAGGGTTTACGGGGACAAGGTAAGGGGAGAATTGCTGACATCAGAAGTAAGTCGGATCAGGAAAGGGGTAGAAGCAAGCTACGATGGCTTCATTTCTCTCTCCTTGTTGACTCTGATTGGGAACGGGAGAAGTGGCAGGGTAGAATCGGGAAGAAATGGAGAGGGAACGAGGGACCATGATGATGGGAGTGGGTTCTGGATAACCAGGGCAAAAGAGGAGGAAAAGGTAATTGGGAGGGAGAGGAGGATGTGAAAGACTCTGGATCGGAATGCAATAGGGAGGGAGAGGAGGATATGGGGGAGTTAGGATGAGGGAGAAGGAAGATGGTGTGACAGTTGTTGGGGATTTGAGATCAGGGCGAAGAAGGACGAGTACAGCCATTGTGGGGGAAGGGAAGGGAGGATGGGTGCACCAGTTGAGAGAAGGGAAGAGGGGGAGGGGTGCATGAAAATTGGGGAAACGAGGGGAGAGAAGGATGCAGAAGGAACAGTAGGGACAGTGGGGGGAGCAAAGAATTTGATGACGGGAAGTGCAGCAGTACGGGTGCAGTTGGAGGAAGAGGAGGGGGAGCATGGTGCAATGTCACAGGAGGGAAGTGAGGGGTGGCGGGTAAGGGTAGTAGAGTGGCAGAGAGGGGAAAGAACGGAAGGAGTAAGGGTACGTGTTATGGATGGGGGAAAGAGGGGATGGAGGAGCGTGGCACAGTGTTGGCTAAGGGGGGAAGAGGCGACAGCAGACTTCTTTCTGTCTAGGCCAAAGGACCCCTGACCAGTATTGATTGCTCCCATGAGGAGTATTAACCGTCAGTAGCGTGAAGCAAAGAATTCCGCTCAATCGTATATCGTGCTGAGATTGCCACAATAGCTTGATTCCAAGAACCATATGCCTCAGGAAATGTCTCATTTCCCAACAGAAAGCCTGTCATTTCCTGCACCTAGCGTAATGTGGGGTGGTTGTGTTTACTGAGTGTTTTGATGGCAATTTTGTTGTTGATCAATAATTCTCTAACCATTGCGAATCTGAAGATAAACCACAATAAGAAGGTGGTGTCTCATTTGTTCGACCTTGGCTTCAGACCGTCGATTGATGCGATTTTGCCACCCTGAAGCCACTTTTGAGCGAGAAAATTATTGACTTCGTATTGAAGAGCTCTGGTTGTGTCATTGCCGACTTCTTTGATCTTGTACCATTTGCACCTGGTCTCTGCCTCCACCAGGTGGATCGGTTGTATCCAGGTCGGGTCTTTGTTTGTCTTTTGGCCATCTATCTTCAGCGGTCATATTCTCTCCTTGATGGTTCAAAGTGCAACTTTCCTGAGAACCAAGTATCAGCTCCTTGCAGCACCTTGTAGGTAGAAAGGGATTCTGATGGTTAGTAGGGTTGGATGTAACGTCGGGGGGGATACTGAACAAGGAGAATCAGAGTTCGGAAGTTGGACTCCCGAACCAGAGGGCCGCTGAGCTTTTCATTAGGCAGTGTGTTATGTCCTCTATCGAGGAGGCATATCTTGCATGGTGGAGACCTCTTGGGGTCTGAGTGGTTCATTTGCACAGCCATTTGTTGACGGGGATCACGGCGTAGGGTAAGAGCCATTCGAGACTGCGTATTTCAGTTGGTCGTTTTTCCATGGGGTCATGTTTCGCCCATCTTCCTTGAGATATCCTCTATCCGCCATCTCTTCTGGATTTTTGGAGCAGGGTCACTCGCTTTCCGAGCTCATGCCGAAATTTAGCAGTGCAATATGCAAATTGTCTATGCCCAACCTGGTCGGGTTGTTCTGTTCCCAACACTCTCCCTTGGATCGTACTGCAAATTGTCTATGCCTTTGATTGGGTTAGCAAGCACCCAGGGTTTTGATTTTGTCACTCTTATCTGTGTGGACAGTGTCTTGGGTAAGGTTTTCCAATCCTGTTTCTGCGTTGTGGCTACCAGGTAGGTTATGAAGCTTGCTCTATAGCGCCTGTTCTGGAGTCTCCTCAGGATTCGGGAGTCTCTGGTCGGCTTCTTTTGTGAGATAAGGATTGCTCAGTCCCTCAATTTCCATGTGAAATCCTCTTTCAGGAGTCAAACCCACTCAAGCGGGATGCTCTCAATTATGATAAAGAAATTTCTGTGGACAGCATGACAGCTTTTCAATTGCTCTCTGTGGTCATGGGAGGATTTCCAGGCTCTGGTTTATCTGTTCCATTAATGTTTGACTTTCCATGCTCCTTTTCTACCCATGGCATCTGCAATCAGCGGAGTGTAACGACGAGGGGAATCTTGACTCGTTTGTGATCCACTGATTGCAGAACAGTGGCTGCCTCAGGACGTCCTCCTTGGTCCTTGGTTTGATGACCTTCGGCAGGAGCATCTTTCCCACTTTTCCAGTAGGGTGGCCAGTATGATAAGGGTTTGCGGGAGGTCGGGGTTGTCTGGGTTCCCCTCAGTTGTTTAGGTTGGTCTGTTTACACCGACCATTCCTTGGCCATCACCCGAAAAGAGCCCTCCATACTGTTGGGTGTTTGAGTAGGGGCCAATTTCCTGATGCTGTCTCATGCCATTCTGACCCATTGGAGATGGGGACTGTGCAGCAGTTTGACCAGCCATTTCATTTGGAGGCCATCACTTCGTGCTTAGGTTCTAACAGACCAAGTTCTTCTGCTCATGGTTTTGTAGTGATATATAATCCTGGGCGACTTTGATACACGATCGCAGTTTGACCAGCCATTTCATTTGGAGGCCATTACTTCGTGCTTAGGTTCTAACAGACCAAGTTCTTCTGCTCATGGTTTTAAGTGATATATAATCCCGGGGGACTTTGATACACGATCGTCTGTTCAGGTTGCTCGTCCAGAGAAAACATCTGACCCTAGAGTTGAGATTTTCAGAGCTGCATCGGGAGGGGACCAAATAGAGGCCATGTACCATGAAGTCAAGAAAGCGAAGGTGTTAGTGACCCAGACTCTGCCTTCTAGAAAAACCTGTGCCTTCTTGCATGGTGCCAGCTTGGCTTTGGGTACTTTGCGTGATTAAGCTTTTTGGTAACAGTGAATCTTTTTTTTTTTTTTTTTTTTTTTGTTGTTGTTGTGTGTGTGTGTGTGTGCGGGATTAAGCTTTTTGGTTACCGTAAATCAATTTGGTCACTCTCTCTCTCTCTCTCTCTCTCTCTCTCTCTCTCTCTCTCTCTCTCTCTCTCTCTCTCTCTCTCTGTCTGTCTGTGTCTCTCTCCCACTCTCTTTCACATGCACGATCAGATAAAAGTGAGCATTATGTGATTCCTTTTTTTTGTGATGTATTATGTATATCTATATTGTAATGAACCCAGACTGAAAGATACTTGTCAGACGTCGAAGTACAAGATGACTCAGATCTGGACAATGTCTCCAGTAATCATGAAAGTGATCTCTGATACAACTCCTCGTTAGACGAAGAGAGTGGAGGGGGAATAAACAGATGAGAGGGTGGAAGAGAAAATCAATGACCACCAATCGAGCAGACCAGCATTACCCACTCCTTCTCCGGGCTTCCCCTCACCTCCTCGTCATCAAACAGTATCCAGTAACGAGTCAAATATAGAAGTGCCACGTGGCACTGTTCCCTCGTGAAGACAATGGAGACAATCACTAGCGCACAACTCAGGTAAGTACCCCGTTCCTCAATCATCCACAGATCCCGATCTCCCTCCTTGTTGCGACCAATCACCCAATGTAGACAGCATGGCCAATGCCACATCAGCAATGAAGACAGGTGGCATGCGCCATGTCAGCAAGGCTGGCGCTTAGAAAGAAGGCGCCAGGATGTCGCCACAGTCCCGTGTAGTCGTCCACAGTGCCAGCGTACAGCCAGTGTCAAGCCAGTGTCCAGCCAGCGTCCAGCCAGCGTAAGGCAGCATAGCAAGACTGAATGTTGACCTCCTGGAAGCAGCGTCTTATGTAACCTCTGACCAAGTTGACTTGCTTCAGGTCGTCCCCCCCACGGTGGCTCAGATTGACTCACAGCCGGCCTGGATTGCATACAGTTGCAGACTTCCACTTGGTCCGAATGCTGACTGGGTACCTGCATTCAAACAAGTGTGTGCGTCTGATAGGCGGCCTGGGCTGGGTCCACTTTTGACTTTGACTGTTGGGCCTCAGGCAGTTGACTTTGATCAACTGTCGCCCGCTCAGGCTCTGAATCCACGTAGGGGTCTTTTCTCCCCTTCGGCCTGAGACCGAGTGGTGGCCTGGCAATGCCTTTAGACATTCAATGAGGCATACTGGATGGGTTATTGCAATATAATCATATAATGTATATAGGTATGCATTTGCGTGTCATTCCTATGTCATGTGGGCGAAGACGCACTGTAACTTCTTGTAATGTTCATAAGTGCTACAATAAGAAGCGCTAGAACTCGTACACGCGGTTAAAATGCCGAAAAAAAAAGCACTGTCCGGCTCATGACTGGATTTGTGCCAACATTGTAGCAGACAATTATGTGGCTTTGGGCCTTGCTCCACTGCTCTCAATTCAGCAATTTTCGCAGCAATTTTGGAGAGTGGAGCGGTGCTCCACTTACTCTCGATCCCTCCACTCTCGAGAATTGATTGAGTGTTGTCAGAGCACCCCCTTTGACATTACACTCGTTTTTTCAAGAGTGTGCTGTGTGCAGCACTCTCGAAATCCAGAGTCCTCTCCGGGACCCTTGACTCCCAAGGTGAAATATAGAGTAGTTCTTCTCTCTGTGTTTTTTTTTGGGTGTTTTGTGTTGAGAAAAAGTGAAAAAAACAAGAACTGGAAAGTACTTTGATAGTGTGGCGAATCGGGAATGTGGAGGGAAACCTCCAAAATCCGCAAATTCGAGACTCTGACAACTCTCGATGCACTCTCAATTTTGGTTGCAAATCGAGAGTAGTGGAGTGAGGCCGTTTATTATATCATAAAACCAAATGTAGTACATGGCAAAATTGTTGAGGTCAACTCATGACCTTGTCATTCCACTATAATTATCATTTCTTTCCTGAAGGGGTATTGCTTCTGGCCATAAACCTCACCTCACCATAAGAGAGTTATGGTGAGGTTCAGGGCACTGTGGGCTCTGCGGGTGCAAAAATGAAATGCGAACGCCTTTAGACTGACTTGAGTGGCCATCGTTTGTTCGTTGTTCTTGTCTGAATTCTGTGTATTGGGAATGGTGTGCTCGTGAATGCAGCGAATAAAACGTGGTTCCATCCTGAGTGCAGGGGTGGAGGTCCAGAAGGGGAGGTCGGGCCTGGTCCGCGTGCTTTCCACGTGGCAGTATCCATTGACTGCCATATGTTCATATTTGGTGGAAGATCGGGACGGAAAAGGTGAGAATGGTTTGCTTCCCTGGTTGTGCTTCTTTTTCTCTCAGGTAATCTTTGGTTGCATAGTGCCAGTCTCCAGGGCTTGGCAGGCCTCCACTGGGGGCTACCCCCCCCAAAAAAAAACCTGGTCCTAATTGAAGACCGCGGCAGAGAATGGGTCTTCCAGCCGTTAAGTGAAGGTTGGTGAAGGCATTTGGAAGGCAGGCCTCCACCGGGAGCCACCCAAAAAAAATTGAGCCCGGCCCTAAGTCAAGGCCGCATTAGAGAATGGGTCTGCCAGCCCTAAGGGAAGGCTGGTATGAGGCAGTTGGAAATTAACCACTTGGCCCAGCCTCCATGTTCATTGCAGAGGCTGGCTCCCTGATACTCGGTCCAGAAGGTTTTCAGTGCCGGAAGAGCCCAGTCCGAGTTCAGGAAGCCGGCGCCAGGAAGCAGAAAGGACAGGAGGCAGCAGCATTTCAAACATGAGGCACTGGCCGCCAGCACTCGCTCTAGGCAGTGCGCATGTTAGCAGGCCAGCGTTCATTAATGAAGATGAGCAGGAGCAGCCACGGCTTACCTGCTCCGGCAGCAGCAGCCATAGCTGCATTGCGTGGAAGAAGGGAGGCACTGGGGCTGGGGTGATCAGGGGCGAAAAACAGCCGCTGGAGCGGTGGACATTCACAGCGATGGATGACCAAACAGGACACCACTGGTGGTCAGTCTCTGTAGTGTCGTTAGGCCGGAGAAGAGGGGTCACAAAGAGTGAGAACGTGAGGGAGAGAAGTAGGCTGCGTATAGGGGGAGAGTAGGAGAGTAGGACCGCGTTGGAGTTGTATTGATGATGCAGGTGAGAAGTTGGGCTTTATTTTATCAAGAGACTTCAGTGACAGTCTGTTGTCGTTGGATGTTAAAAGGGCCTTCACCCGATATAGGCCTCCGGCCTTGTGAAAATAGAGCAGCACGGGCCTTGTAAAAGTAAAGCATTGTGAAAAGGTATCTTGCCAGGGCTCAGAAACGTGAAAACAGGTCAAAAGTCAAGTTCTCTATCAACAGGCACATCTAAATCTAAGGCAAAGGGCATTGTCAAAAGACTTACCTGTTCACCAGGAGATGTGTATGTCATGTCTGTTCGAGTAAGGGTGTGTCTGTACGTGTAGGCAGTGTACCTGTCCGTGCAATGGAAAGTGCCTGTTCAAGTAGTAAATGTGTCTGTTCGTTTAGAGTTGTGCCTGTCCAAAAGTGAAGTCAGTAGGCACAGTCCCAGTTCTGGTCTAAGTCAAGGGGTCAGTCCAGATCCAGACTTTCAAGTCCAAATCCAGGCCGAAGTGCCTCAGCAGCAGTTGAATCTCATTGGGACTGTACTGGGACACATGCAATGCAGGGTCTGGGACAAAGGGAGAGGCTGAATTGAGCCAATGCAGACCCAGCGAGGAGTGGCCAGCACTATAAAAAGAGCTGCCTGCCTCATTCCTCGTCTCTTATACACATCTAGATGTGTATAAGAGAAGGGAGGAAGATGCCTGTACGCTGGAAGTGATGCAGCCATAGTTGCCCAGCGAGTTAGCATTAGTAGTAGAGGGTTAGTATGTAGCTATGAGTAGTATCCAGAGTAGATCCTCATGACTATTGAAGATTGTGTATGCATCATAGGAGGAAGGGATTGAGGCTGAGAGTGTTCATTCAAGGTTRGCTATGGAAGATACTTACCTGAGTTGGATGTGACCTGCAGAGGTGGCGCTGATGAGTGGTGACCACATTGATGACTTGGAGACTATCTGCAGGGGTAGCACTGATTCACTGGAAGGCATATTGATGAGTTGGCAAGATATTGGTGTTGCGCTGATGAGCGCTGGACTCAGGGGAACTTTGAAACACTTTGTATTCATATTTCTGATAATATAAACTGTGAAACTCGGTCCTCATCTTCTCTATCTTTGTCTATTGTCAGACTACTGTTCATTGTGTGTGGGAGTACGATGCATGGCATGTACACACTTGCGTGAGATGGTCCCCAGGACCCATGCAATGTGCTCTCAGCTTTGTAATTCTGCTTTTGACTTTGCTCATGTATGCTTATTCTGCTTCATGTTATGATCCTGGCTATCGAGAAATGCAATAACACAAAGAAAGACAATGCCGTTCAGTTGCAACTGAAATGAGAGGACTTGGAAAGTGAAGTAGGCAAAGGAAGAAGAAATGAGAATGGGAGGAGAAGATGTACAACAGCAAAGACCAATGTTAAACCCCTCTCCAACACGTCACCTCCTTGGACTACCCCAACTTCTTCTTTTCAATAACTGTAATATAGCAATGAAAGAACAAGAATGTCCGAATCTCCTCCTTACTGCCAGCAACTCATCAGGTCCACCATAGCTATCTTCTACATATTCCTCCTACTTGGCTAAGTGGATGGGTGTGGCGGACTAGCGGATTCCTGCTCCGATATTCAAAAGACCGCGAAGATGATGTGTCCCTCTTTCAATGGCCACCATGCCCAACACTACCCTGAAGTCTTCCTTGATGAAGCCAACTCCCTTTGGGGCCTTCCAGGTGCAGCGCCAACCAAGAAGATGGAGACTGCCAAAGCCAGGTAAGCACCCCTGGTGCTCTCCTCCCTGTTCACTGACTTCCTACTCCTCCTCCTCCTCCTTTCCGGATTCTTCCTCCTTGGTGCTCTCCGCCATAGCCGAGGTGAAAGGCCAAGCCCGCCTTCTTCCTCCCCAGTGCAGGAACACCAAGAGCTCGCTCCAGCAATTTGACACCACACTTGCACACCGCAAGGAGGAGCTCTTTGCTCCTCCGTAAAATATACCGGACTGCTGCCTCCTTTGGCCGTGACTTTCCAGGCTGCTCGGCCTCCCGAGCAACCGGGCTCCTTTCGGTGCGAAACATCATTGCAGTCTGATATCCTTCGTTTAGGTGCCCGGGGTCAAATATGACCTGAAGATACTCCTAACAAGCTATCTGTGTGCAATCCCAGAAAACATTAGGAATCTGCTGGCTAGTGAGGCCAGCACTATGTATGATGTATTTGCCTCCCTTCGCAGCAAGGCATTGTAGATTGCAAAGCTAAGGAATGCTACCGGTAGTGTGTCTATAGGGAGTACTAATTGTCGGAGCACAAAGAAACTGCTCTAAGACTGGAAGAGAAGGGTCCACTCCTAATTACAGAAGTGCTCAGCAAGCGCACAACAATCCAAGTGTGTTTTATTTATCATTCATGTATTTTTCAACAAGTTAATTGCAGATTGGTTGTGTCTGTAATGAACCCAATCTCGTCTGTTCTGCAAGAAGGAGAGAGATTAGGGAAGACCAGGTGGTGGGCAGTACTTGCCATGGTTACAGAGGAACGCCCCGTCCCGGAGTCCACAATACAGCTAGGGAGATTGAAAAATCAGCGTTATAGGAAAGCCTGACAAGAGCTATACCGAAGGCCAATCACAGACCGAAAAGCGCTGGCATGTCGGTATTCATGAACATCCCCAAGTTGAACTCACCAGAATCACCATGGGGACTCCATGAAGCCATTATGACGTTATTCTTCAGACATGCATAATGGCTTCTACGGGAGAGTCCATGGAAAATCACTATCGAGTCATTTTTCAAACATCCATTTGACCGACACACGCGTCCTTTATTTACGTTCTGATGTCTACCCATGTCCTGTTATGTTTCCCTTTTCCGAAAGGCCATCTGAGACATTTGAGAAATGGTTTTCTGTTTGAGTTGTTTACACTGCAGTATGCTCTTCCACTCTGGTGGAATTCCCTGGTTCACCGTTTAAACCACGAGTGCGAATGAGCCCACAAGTGCGAATGAGCCCACAAGTGCGAATGAGCCTATGTTGTTGATTGGAGTCACATTTGCATGGCCTGAAACGTTACTCCTACCCAGTCCCACGGGCTCAGACCTATATATCAATATGGCCTGGTGCAGAAATTATCGCATAGGGTTTTTTATTTTCATTTCTTTCCTGGTGATGTGGCAGAACCTAATTAGACTACGTCTTTCTTAGGCCTAACGAGGAAGTTCATTCGGACTACGTCTTTCTTAGGCCTAACGAGGAAGTTCATTCGGACTACGTCTTTCTTAGGCCTAACGAGGAAGTTCATTCGGTGTCTCCAAGGTGAAGAGTAATTGGTGTTTGCCTTGCAGTGATTGGGCTGCGTGTTTACCGCGGCTCAGGAGGGGGTTAATTCTTTGTTTTCACACCTAAAGCGTAAAATGCCTTTCTCATTAAGGTCCAATGCACTTCATTCATGCATGTTTATTTTCAAACAATAGACCATTGGGGTTTGTTTTACTCGGCTGCATATCCCCCATTTTTTAGTTCTGGTATTCGCATGCAGTTGGAGGTTTCATACACACTAATCGTAATTCCATCAATACCCCTTCCTCATGCGGCCAGAGGCGCGCTGGCTCTTCTTCTAATAATGCTGTGCATTCAGCCGCTGGCCATACCCCTGACCCTGGCACTTGGGCTGGAACCAAGGACACTAGTGGGCCCGGATTCTAAGTCTGCTATGGCCCCTGGATATAAACCCTCGAGTACAAGGAAATGCTGCACAATACAGTGGAACAGCTATAGAAGGCTCAAAGGGCTATGATGGGATCAGAAGTCAGGATAGACGGACGCGGACATTGTAGGTGGGGGATAAGGTGTGGGTTAAACCACCAGTACATCCGAGCCTCTTTTTTGTGAGTCAGATTCACACTGTTCGCCAAATGAAAAAGGACTGCCAGCAGTGCACCTCTTTTTTTTTTTGTGGCTGGTGCTGCTAGCCATTTGGTCTGGTAGCACGGTTCATTTGGATTGGTGCAATTTCGACTCTCAAGTTTGCGTGGGTGAGGTACTGGCGGTTTAAGTCATCTGATTTCACACCGAAACAGGTGTTCCACACAAGTTAATGGCTCACTATTTCGGTCCTTGCCTCTCCTGGTAATTGTACGAAACCCTGATGGCCCATCTTAGGTGATAGATGGCTCTCCTCATCTCCGCACTTACCCTGTATTTCATGCTT